ACACACACTCACACACACTCTCACACACACTCACTCGCACTCACTCGCACACTCACTCGCACTCACTCGCACTCTCACACACTCTCACACACACTCTCACCCTCACTCACTCACACACACTCTCACACACACTCTCACCCTCACTCACTCACTCACACTCACACTCACTCTCACTCTCACACACGCACTCTATCACTCACACACACTCTCACACACACTCACTCGCACTCTCACACACACTCACTCGCACTCTCACACTCGCACTCACTCGCACTCACACACACTCTCACACACACTCACACACACTCTCACACACACTCACTCGCACTCTCACACACACTCACTCGCACTCTCACACTCGCACTCACTCGCACTCACACACACTCTCACACACACTCTCACGCTCACTCACTCACACACACTCTCACACACACTCTCACCCTCACTCACTCACTCACACACTCAATCACACTCACTCTCACTCTCACTCTCACACACGCACTCTCTCACTCACACACACTCTCACACACACTCACTCGCACTCTCACACACACTCACTCGCACTCTCACACTCGCACTCACTCGCACTCACACACACTCTCACACGCACTCGCACTCACTCGCACTCACACACACTCACTCACTCACACACTCACTCACACACTCACACACACTTGTTAAACAAGCTGCTATCAGAGAATGTATTTGTGTGATATCCCACACACACACACACACACACACACATTCTCACGCACACACACACACACACACACACACACACACACACTCAGTCTTTGTGATATCATAATTGCACTAGACAGGTTGATTTATGTGAGATTTACTGCTGATCGTGATTTATCATGCAGCCCTAGTATCCAGCAGATGTTCAGAGCTGGCAGTAATAATGAGTGGGACTGATGCTGGATCTGCTCTCTCCGGCAGGTGGATCTGTTCCAGCTTCAGGTCAACACACTGAGACGGTACAAGAGGCACTACAAGATCCAGACCAGACCTGGACTCAACAAAGCCCAGCTCGCAGAGGTACTGATGAGAAGTCCTGCGATTATCCTCCTTTGGGGACCAATCTTAATTACAAGTTCAAAAGTCACCTCTTCTTTCAAATACTATAAAATTTATACGACACTTACTATAATTTATGTTTCCTGTGAATCTCAAGTTTTTTTTTCTTGCATGAACTTGATGTCCAACAGCAAATCTTTCCTCCAAGTGCATATTTTAATCAAAAGCAAGCGTCTGTCTCTGTTGTATTGTGGCTGCATCTGCTCACATGTGCAGAATATAGAATATGACTGTGTAACGTAAGTTATGGACATCAAACCCTGCGCTTATGACTTAAAGCATCGTACATAAAACACTCTTCAGGTTCAGCGGGAACTAGTTCTCCGTCAACTGCTATTAACTAGCAGGTTAATATTGTGGAGAAACGCTTGGTCTGTCTGTGTTTAGAGAATATGCTTCCCTAATCCCTACATATTAATGGTGATTTCAGGAAAATCATTTCATCAGATTGAATCGTCTCGTGATGGACGTGGAGCTTCTAGAAAGTTCATCAGTCAGCCAATCATGATGCAGCATTCATCCGTTTTAGTAAAATCAATTAATTCAGTGTTTTTGTTTTTAATGATCTTTCTTCTTCTTCTCCAGACCGTGAGCCGTCACTTCCGCAATATTCCAGTCAATGAGAAGGAGACGCTCACATACTTTATTTATATGGTGAAGAGCAGTAAAAGCCGGCTGGACCAGAAGTCAGACGGGAGCAAACAAGTGGAATAATGTTCCCTGGCGATCTCGGAGTGGCAGAAAGCCATGATTGATGACGTGCAGATGTTACCTGGCTTTGCAATTCCTCTTTGAATGCTTACTGTGTTTTTTGTCCATACGGGAGTCACTACAGTCACATGCTTGTGTAGTGATGATGATGTGCCAAACCTCACAGTAACACCATTAAAGCGCTGGCGTTTGAGTGAATCCAGCGTCTCTAATGCTCCGATTTCACCGCTTGTCCAGTGAGGACCTGATTGAAAGCATGACAGAGACTGAATGACTGCAGATCTGCTCTCTCGTGTCAAATGTTTTGTGCTTCTCACACTTAAACTAATGCCAATCCCCCAGAAGAGCCGCGATACGTTACCTGAGGCTTTCTGTTCATCTGCTCTGTTTCACATCCGTCTCTGCTTTTGTATGACTGCTGTGTATCTGCTCTATATGGCGTTTTTTTGTAGGTTGTAATGTTAGTTTTCTTCCTTTCTTTGTTTGAAATAATCAGTCTAAATACAGTTCTTGTGGCACTACTCATATTTGTATTGATGGTGTGTGAGTGTGTCTGATGCTGGAGGACAGAAGAGAGCTGGAATGTCAGGATATTAGACAGAACGCATGTATATTAGAAACCGGACGCTCTGATATAGTCTGCTGCATTGTACTAGTAATCAGTCTACATGTGTCTACACTGTTTGATCATCAGCACACAAGGACAGAATGTCTCGTGGAAAACAACTGAAAAGGAAATGGTGAAGAATGAATTATGAAAGACATCTTAGCGTCACTTTTAAGCAGTAAGGGCTGTATTTTCATTTATTTGTCTAAATACATACTGGAGAAGATATTAAAATCAAAACATTTTTAAAAATGGAAATGATAAATTTCCCTAGCCCATGCACACACATTTCCAGTTCTATCAAAACTTTAAACACTGAGAGTTGAGTACTTCTGAGCATCACTGCTGTCTCACATTCATAACCGTGGCAGGAGAGACAGTTCTGTTCAGTAAGTTACCAGATTACAGTTGAATTTGTCATGTCATGCTTAAATTGATCTCCAGGCACACGAACACTTGGATTGTTTTCCTCTCATAAATTACAAAGGTCCTCGGGAGTTGCTCATTTCTTCAATCTCTTACGATTCAAAGATCAGTAACTGATGTAATGTTTGATAAAGGATCCCTTGGTCAGCATGTGAACTTTAAACAGCCACTGAGGTGAACCTGGTCAAAGTCTATCATAAACATGATATTCCAGATTGGTGTGTTACAAGCATGTGCAAAACTGAATGATAAACGCAAGAGGTCATTGCAAACAGTGGAGAAACTTGATGGTTTGGTTAAAAAAATGAGGGACTACGATGATATCACTGATTTTCTGGGAACAGATAAAAAATGGAAACCGTGAGGAGTATTCCATGCAAATTCAAAGTGCTTTTTATAAAAGAAAAGAATCACAACAATAAAACAAGGAATTTAAAAACTTTGAAAATTATTGAAAAATTGATTTGTTTAAAATGAATTTAAAACAGTTAGAATAGAAAATGATTATACATAAAATATAGTGCGATCAGTTCGGACATTGCACAGTGCTCATTCAGTAAATGCACAGCTAAACAGATGAGTTTTGAGTCTGT